ATTAACCTGTTTGAGTTTTATACGCTACTCGACGTACATATCTCCCCAGCTGATGATCAAAGTTTCGGTAGAACTTTTCTTCGTTTCACGATCATTCGTCCCTTACTGTACACGCATGTCGATGGCCCGGTAATTCCCACGTTACGTGACCAGACTCCGCGACTGATCAAATCGACCGTGTCGAGGATGCTGCCAGGACAGCAACGTGGATCTTCACCGTCGTTGCTTTAATTGCTACGACGTAATTAACGAGCGAGCAGTCGCAGTCGTTAGTCGCGAGGTCCCGAAGATCCCATCCACAGCCAAAGACGCTGTCTTCTCTTGTTAAGTCTTCTCCCCTTCTTCGAGAGCAATTATATCAGCATATCTCGTAGCACCAACCAGAGGATGCAAATTTATATCGGACGATTCTTTGTCGCGAAACTATCTAAGGAGAGAAAGAGAGAAAGAGGGAGAAAGAGTTGTTTGCTTGCTGGCTGTTTAAATTCGGAAAAGATCCTTCTTGTTACTCTCTCCTTGATCGTTCTTTGAGTACTAGAGAAATGAGAATTTTTAGAGTACTCGGAGAGAAAGTATCGTGAGATGTGCGAGTGTCTTTTGTCGAAATTTAGGAGATTGTTTATCTTCTCGGTTTTAGAAGTATAATATAATATATTGTGGATTGTGTAGATTTATATGTTAGTTAGAGCTTGGGAATCCAACGCTTTTGATTTCATGAGGCTAACCAAATAAAAGCGGAATATTGTAACTAGGAGATTCAAACTATATTCCACGATATTTTTAATAACGAGCTTGATATTCGTAGTCTAAAAACTCCTCGATTCGATGAATATAGACTGTTAACCCAAACGAACAGGATATTTCCGCTAGAAACTCAACGTGTCAAGTTGCCTGCGTTCGTTCGCGAAAATTCGAAAACCATCTCGTTACCAAGCTGCTGAACAAAGAATCGCTCTTTCCAACAGCCTCGTGGGTGAACACGAAGAGAGGATCATCGAGAAGCGATCTCGTCTCGCGAAGGAATCCACGATGCTGGCGAAAGTCGAAGCACCAGGTCGAAGTTCCAGTGCGATGAAGCTGGAAAGCCGTGAGTAGAAACTGTCGATTGGCGTTTGGATGGCTTGCAAACGGAAGCGGAAAAAGTCGTGGAAGAGCGCCTGAGGGAGGGAATTACAGTGCCGCGTTCGGCGTTCGCGCCGGCCAACCATGGCGTAGCCACGCCACGAAAATCCCACGACTCGTCGAAGACGAGATTCTCTAAGAGGGAAGAGCGGTTTGCCGCCGTCTTTCGAGTCTTTCTGCGAACGAACGTCGTTTTGGTTCGAGAGAACGAACGAACGAACGAACGAACGAACGAACGAACAGGCCAGAGGAGAAAAAGACGCAATGCGGTAGCGTGTGCTAAGCGAGAGCTTAGCGGATCAACGGATCGTGCCACAGAGCCCGGTTCGGAGAACGAAACTGGGCCATAACGGAGTCGAAGGGCCCGGCCAAAGTGGATAAAAGCCACTCGAACAACGGCCCTGGCGACGACGGCGCTGGCTTCCGGCGATGATCGGATACAATCAACACAATTCTGGCTACAACAAGCTATTCACGCAGGTACATCGCTGACAATCGTTTTTTTTTTTTTCTCCTTTTCCTTTTCAATTCTATTGTTTTCGAGTTCCTGTACTTTCCGGATTGCGGGAAAAGGTTTCGTTATTCTTTTTAATCTATTTTTATCTTGTTCTTTCCGTTGCCGTCTTTCCTTTAACACTCGCAGCAATTTGTTTCTTCTCTTCTTCGCTATTTCTCTCCCAGTTGCCGTTGCGTTCCACGATCTTCAGTTTTGACATTCTTTCGTCGTCTGAATTTCCAACTGAAATTGGGAAAGTGTTGTTTCGAGTAAGTCACGAGTCTCGAGAATTATATTTTCGAAATATGCAAGAAAAAATACGACTCGTCCGGTCTTCGATCAACTTCTTCGATAATTAAATTGAAAATTCCACGAACACCGTCAATTTTATTCTCTCTGTTTAATTAATTGTGATCACTCTAGCTTATATTCCCAAGAGAAAAATCGTCCCTTTCCAACGTTGTTTTCCTTTTCAGTTTTTCTTTTTTTTTTTTTTTTTCCTGTAACGTGTGACGCAGACACAGAGACAGGGTTATAAGAGGATGATGCTTGTAACGCGGACACGTTTCACAAAGGGTGTCAATGAATCGGCCTCCTTACACAAAGTAAATTAACAGTTGCAAGGGATCGGCGTTGTCTTCATCAATTTTCTCGCATTTTACAAAGGATTTTTCCGTTAGGCGTGCGATGCGTCGTACGAGTTTTTACATTAATCAGCCTGGCGTGAAATAAAACCGACCGGGCGTGCTATCGTTGCACAGCCGCGATCCTTTACGTTGCAATCTAAATCGATCTGGTTTACATTTTCAGCGTGAAACCGAGCGTTTCCAATATGCTCCGTTGCTCCTGCAGCTGCTGTTTTCGTCCTATTCACACAGGCGTTCCTCTTTTTATCCTACTTTTAGCCGAAGCCGGGTTTTCATTACATTGTTTCGCGTTATACTGTCCGCCCTTCGTTCTTCTTTTGCAAGCAGCGCAACGTTTACACAACGTTCCCCATCGTACCACGCCATTGTTTGCCACTTAAGTCAAATTCAATTCAGGCAACTCGGCTTGAAGTTTTGCGTTCACGCGAGTCAAGTTATTTGACGCGAAGCCGTTCGAGTTCGGCTAATCTGATTTCGAGTGGATATTTAACCCAGATATGTCTGTCGTGCTTTCAGAAGCGTGATTGTAGCACAGCCAATTTTGTTTGACGATTCTTTCTTTCTTTTTTTTTTTTTTCTGACGACGGCCAACGTACTCGTAGAGGCACAGCGATCCAAAAATTAATCAACGATTTGAAACTAGAATGGGTGAAGAAGATATCCATATCTCTACTTAAGATCAAGGTTATCTGGCAACTCTCTTGATAAAAATGTATAATAGGATAGGGCTAAAGTTTTCAAATCCTTAGATGATTTGAAGAAATAAATAAATATGATCGTCTGGCTGACTATGATCGGGCAAGGGTGTCCCATAAGTTTGTCCCCGAAGTTGTCGGCATTTGGCAGTCGATAAACAGAAGCCGCAGCTATTCGATCACGTGAATATCACGCGGCAGTTTCGTTTATACTTCCTGACTTCTCTCTCGTAGAGAGATTCGCAGTATAGAAAAATTCGCGTTTTACCCAGTGACACAGAAATTCCCCGTCGAAAGATTCGTCGCACGCAATTGTTCGAAAGCGTTCCAGTCATCCGGGGATCCCCCAGAAGGATCGAGGAAGGTCGCGGTGGCACGCATAGACGAGTTTATACAGTCACGCATGGGGAACTGGTAGAACGCGAAACGATTAAGTAAAGGCCGTTGGCATGGTTACAAGCCTCGACCAAATGAATTCATCGTTTCGACAGAAAGAGACAGAAAGAGAGAAAGAAAGAGAGGGGAAAAGAGGATTTTAAGGGTGAGAATCTGGCAGAAGTATCGTCTAACATTCGTCAAACTGGCCTGGGGTGAGCATCGAACGCAACACTTTGCTGAAATGCAAATGAAACGGTCGCCTAAGTGGCGCGACACACGCTGGCCGCCATCCTTTGCATTTAATTAATTAAGCGTCTAATTACAGGGCAGGTAAAAGCTACGACTTTGAAAGCCGGATCAATACGTCAATGTCGTCGTCGTCGTCGTTCGGCGATCGATAAAATTGTCAGAAATTGCGTCTCGTTCTCTCGAGCTCGGTGAGTTTTCTCTCGTTTCCAGGTCTCCCGATGTCCCGACGGGTCGACATCGATACGTCTTCCACCGCGTTCGACGCAATCGATCCAATTAATTCGCCCGTGCCGGCAATTAATCGGCCATACAACGTCCTTTTTTGTCACCGTTGTCGCCAACGCGCTTCGGTTGCGTTACGATATTGCTGTTCCTCGAACGTGTTTGGCAGGACGTTTCACGAGCTGACGCAACCAATTGCGCCGCACGATATAACGTATAGATAGAATCCTAATCGTGGATAATTTCCGGAGTCGTTTGGCCAATCGTCGCGCGATTATTCTAAAAATCGCAACGAACCGGCCCTCGTCTATACGTGGTACCCGTGGTTCGCAACGCGTACTTTTATCATTACGCTGCGTCAACACTTTCGCCACTAAATGCACACTGAATATTGGTTGTAATTCCATTTTGTAATATTTTTTAACCACGCTGTGTCCTTTAACTTAAAAAAAAAAAAAAAGGAATACATATCTGCGAAAGATACAAGCGTATGGAACGCGTGTCTGACTCAGCACGGTCCGTTTCTACTACCCCGCAGTATATTCTCCACTTGTTCTTAAACGAAATCGAATTGCGTTAATCCTGTCGCGTAAGCGCGAGTAATTTCATAAGAACGCAATTGAAGTAGCAGAGAGCAAAGTACGAAATGAGAAATTCGAGCAATCGATCATTGTGCACTAGCGCAGAGATGTTTGCAAAGAGGTGGGACGGCCGCAGTCGCTTCAGAACCGACGAAACTTTCCTTTTTAAGCTAATGGTCTCCGACACTCCGAAAGCCCTTGAGAACTTCGCCAAGGCTTCCGCGGGCGAAACATCCGAGGCTCCTTCCAGTTCTTGGAACACGAACTTCGCGACAAATCTCGCGAGAATTGTGTCGCAGTAGTTACCAACGTTTGACAAACTCCTTCGAACACGAAACCCATGGAACATACAAATAACCAATAAGCTAGCTAGATATATTGTACACCGTTTTTTTTTAAACTAACTAAACGTATCGCGAGGAAATGGAATTTCTTGGAATTTTTGAACCCACCGAGAGAAGGTACAAGGTGCATTATTACTGCGAGAGAAGGGTTGGAGGAGCTCGTTGCAGCTCGTTCCTGAATTGAAACGATTCGATAACGATCCGAACGCCGAATAATGAATATCGCCGGGCGATGCGAATTTAAACGAGTTTGTTTTGTATTTCAGGGCTCGGCAGACTCGAACTACTCACAGCCGAGCTCGGATCTCTCGCTGGACGAGGAGAAAGAGAGCTTGCGTCGTGAGAAGGAGAGGCAGGCCCTCAATCAACTTGAAAAAGCCAGGGTAAGTCATTGATCTTTCGCATGTTCCAGTTTCACCTCTCCTTTCGCCGCTCCCTTGTGTTTCGCTTGTTTTCTCCATCGGTCTTTCGGTAAATCGTTTGCTATCGATCGGCCACTTCCGAACGGCGTCGTTTCCCTCCGACACCGACCTCACGTCACCTCCCCGTCACCTCAGCAAGTTGCCCGCCGAGGAATGAGAAGCGTGTCAATGAATACGCGCGCCAGACTAATGAGATCTCGCGCGTGGAGGCCGCTCGACGAAACCAATTAAATCGACCCCGGTGATCCTTTGTTTCCGACAATAGATGCAAATGCATTATATCGCGTCGCCAGCCGTGATATTACTCCCTTTAATTACACGTTCCTTTCTAATAGCCAGCACCAGAGCTCGATGAATTGGTAATTATCGGATCGGTTGTCTCGACGCTTCCGTGACACTCCTCGGCTTTCCTCACCCACGTGCACCTATCCCACGATTGCCTAATTGTCTACAACTTTGTCTCGATGAACTTTCGAACACTGTTGAAGCGAACAGAGAGGACTGTAGCTTCTGATTTATTTAACTTCAAGACACGCTTGAATCTCTTGAAATCTCTCGACGTCGAGAGAAACTTTCGAACCTCTAAATTTACAAACGCCCGGTGTTCCAAATTTTCGATTCTTCGAATTCTTCCGAGCTCCACCGCGAGCCGTGGAATCTTCAGCAAGTAAGTCAGGTTTTACGTTTCAACGGTAACGTTCGTGGAATTTGCGTGCAGTTTCGCGGAATCGGGGCGAGTATTTAGATCGAGCAACGGGGCGAGAGCGGGTCGCGTCTGAATTATGAAGACACCCTCGGCCGGCATACATGACCGATCAGTCGGATCAGCTTCGGACTGAACAATAAATGAATATTGATCAACCAGCCGCGACCTTCGAGGGGTAGAACGACGTAGCAAACGCGGACGGCGCTCTGCGACACGGTGTGTTGCGCTTTTATTCTTCGCGGTATGTGTCACGCGGTAGATTGACAATGTACCGATCATCCGTGATCTCATCGGCATTTACTTCACGCTTGAATTACAGATGCGCGAGTGTCGCGTTGCGGTATAACGGATTACGGATAACTATATGACCCAATAAAAGTATCGACGCCATGAACAATAAAACGATAGCTTCGTTTTTTTTTTTTTTTTTTTTTTTTTTTTTT